GTTGACATTGGGGGGTTTGGGGGGTGGTGGGTGGCCGGATGAGCGGCGATTGGGGAGTGAGTCGACCATTTCCGCTTCCACTGCCACTGTGTCGATGCCGAAAATAATCGGTCGGCGACGGAATGCGATGACTCGTGATGGTATTGCTCGCCACGTCTTCGACGGTGATCTGCTGCGTCAAGGGGGTGCCGGGTTCGGGGGGATCATTGAGCCGTGAGAAGGATTCCGGAGCGAAGTACCCTTCCGCGGGGGGAGGTTGGCCCTGGAAGGAGTGGTTCTCGATATTCGATCGGGGGCGATCAAATTCGGCAGAGGGCAGGTGAGAGTGATCCGAGGTGGACGTGCGCTGTGATGAGACGGGATAAAGCCGGTCCATTGAATGGGCTTGACGCTGAATGTGCACCACCGGTGGAACGTGGGTTTCGGCGGCTCTTGATTTGGGCCGGGCATGTTCCCCTCGACGGTTGAAGAAGCCCTAATCGGAAGATTAATATCACTGCGTTGTGAGCTTTGACAAGCAGCTTGGGGTAGGGGGGGGGAGGGGGAAGAGTCTTTGTGTGCGTGTGAGACACATACACTGATTTTGTCCAACGCCTTCCGGTGTGGCTGACCCGTCTTGACACCGTGGGACTCAGAGCCCCGAGAAGGGCGACGAATTTTGTTGCCGACAACCTTCAGCTTATCCATGGTTGATAACGCAGTCTGCGTTGGCGCTTGCTTCGAGGCAGGCTGGGCGGGCGGGTTGGAGCGAGCATGGTCGGTCGATTGGGAAGTCTCGCGGGGTCTACTACTGCCTGACAGAAGAGGTCGAAAGACACCGCTAAGTCGGCGCGAGGCATGTTCAGCCTCATCGCCTGGCCAGGGGCTCTTCGGCCTGCGCCCTGGATGATCGGGTCTAAGTATGCCGCCAAGACTTTGGTGCTGACCATCGCCCCCATCCGACAAGAATGACACTCGCGACGAGTTTGCCGGGCCTGGCGCAGTCGAAGTTTAACGTTAATTCCGGGGGACTTGTTGAGCAGCGTGGTTACTCACCGAGTACTTGGCGCAATGGCCGTGGTGGGTCTCGATCAGCCTCGAGGGTGCCCAAGGATGAGACGGAGGAGGGCACGGGTTGGAGTCGCACTTGGACGCTGGAGCCCCGCCGATGGTGACTCGGATCTAGCAGCGTTGCCTTATTAATCTCGTCGTTACTACGTTGGACATCCCTAGTTTTGCTTTCCATGACCGAGGAGTAGAACCGTTTCCCCATCGACGACGGTGCCCGGGTAGTAGTAGTCGTTTCGCATTCGGGAGACGGCTCGTCGCGCGCAGGTTGTGGCTGAATGTTATTTTGCTGGCCCATTGAATCGTCAATACTGTTGGCCTGCTCCGTCCACGATAGGATTTTGTCGCCAATGTCCCGCTGGTCGCTTTTGTACTCGGGGATCAACAAAGGCGCGTCATTGATGGCCACCTGAATCGGGGTCACTGGGGGAGATTCGCTCCTCCTCGACAAAGGCTTTCGGGGAGGACAATCCTTGTCAGGTTGCACGGGCGCTAATCGATGCGCCGAGGATGCACTATCGCCAGGCAACTCCCAATGCTCCTGGAACCCTGTTTGTGCAAGGACAGCAGCGTCAGACGCCTCCAATTCCGCCAGCTCTCCAGCGGTGCCTCGATAGGACAATGCAGGACCCGATTGACCTGATCGCGAATCCGCATCACTGAAGCCGAGTGCAGCGACCACTTCCTTGTCCAGATCCTGTATGGGACCGGAACGGTGCCTATGGGCGGCGGATGGCTCAGGATCCGTGTGATATCCCGTGTCTGCTGCCGCGCCCTCAACCGGTCTACGCGCCGAGACCGACGGGACTTGTTTGCGCTTGATGTCCAAGCTCAACCGGTTCCCTTGGCTGTCTCGAGCGCCATTAATCACTGGGAGACTTCCAAAGTGGACCGTCCGTCGCTTGTCGTGGTCCTCTTCGGCTAGGTCTAGAGCAAGTTCTGAGAAGGAGAATTTTCTGCGATAACCACGACTCGATTCAAACCCCTACAATCACCATAACATTAGATGAGTTTAACCAGACGAGGGTATTAAGACCAAGAAAAAGTATCAACCCGATGTACAGACATCAATCATGTCACATTCTGAGTGCGGAGATATGTTCAATTACAGACATGGTATCAATAGAAACATAAACAAAACGGCAACGATCAGAGACATGCTGGCGCAGCGATGGATAATCCATAGGTTCCCACACGCTCCCTGCACCGCTGAAACATGACATACCACCCACAATAAGAAAATTAAGGCTCTACCTTGTCTGACCCTCCACCTTTAAATTTACTCCTGCCCTTGGCAAATAGACCCTTGGCGGCTTCGCCAGCCTTGCCGCCGAAGACGCCGGCGGTGTGGAGGAAATCCTTCCCTCGTTGTTCCACATGCTGTTTATTCATCATGGAACCAAGATGAGTCGAAGGACGTCGAACATGGCCCGACCCGGACGACCCTTCCTGGTGAGACGACACAAGGTTTCCAAGAGACGACAGTTTCGGGAATTTGGCCCGGGGCACAGGGTACTTGGACTCATCCGTTGTCTGTTTCAAACTTTGCTGCACAACATCTGCGTACTCAGGGTGAGCATGGATAGTAACCCGGAGCCAATTATTTAGACCGGTATCGATCGTCACAAACTGGTCTCGGGTTTTGTTGAACGCTTGCACCCGTTCGTCGGAGGTCTTCAACTCGAGGATATCACGGAAGCCAAGCAAGCTTGCTTCAATAGATGGCGACTGCGTGGGTGCAGAAGTAGACGCTATGGCTTCCTGGCTTGTAACTGCTGGGGAGTAAGCATCTCCAACGGTTTGGGCATTGACAACTTCGGGAAGATGTCGACCCGAAACGATGCTGTTGTTGTCGGTGGCAGACGGGGGGATGATAGTCAACTTGGGCTTCTCAGGCACCTCAGGCACATGATCACGTCCAGCCTCATCAGGTGTCTCAACTGGCGGAGCCACAGTGTCCGGCTCGGGCGATGGCTGAATACTGTTCTCATCAACTGCAGGAAATTGTCCCGGGATTGGCCCTACTGGAGGGGATTGGACCTCTGTCGCGGGCGCATCCTGTTCCTCGGAGGAGGCAGACTCCCAAGAAAACCGCCTCTTCAACTTAGGGGTTGTGTCTTGTTGCGGAGCCGCATTTAGTGCTAGAGTAGACGCCTGCAGGGGGCTACTGGAGTATAAACCCTGGGACTCGTTCTGCGCGGAGTTGTATCCAAGGGCGGGTTTGAAGTCCTCCTGGGGACTGGCACTAGCTGTTTCGTTCCAGTATCGTTCGTATTCGCTCGGAATGAGACTATCCTGCCGACTTGTTTGTGGCCTGGACCTGTCTTGCGGGTCCGGTTCCTCAGATGGAGTGTTCTCCCGACTCAAAGAACGAATGATCTCCTTCCTTAATCGGTCACTCTCGGTGTCTTGCGGGGAATTTTCCGTACTCAGGGAGGGAACAATGGCGGGAATGGAGTTTTCAGGAGGAGACATGTTACCACTGATTTTGAGCGGTGCAGGTCGATCTTCCGCGGCTGTGGTAGTTGGTGGCACGGTGGATTGTTGATATGTTGGCGTGGACTGGTCCTGAGGTGAGTCAGATGGAGGGTCCGACGACATTTCTGCTAATGCTTCGGGGGCGATGGTGTCGTTATTGGTGATTATTGGCCTTCTCAAAGGACTGTTATCTGGACTGGGAACACTCAGATCACGGCGATGACCAGGCTTAAAACCTCTCGGTGGAGATGAACTCTCCGGCTCTTCCTCAATCGTTGGTGTCTGCTCGTTTGTGCCACGAGGAGGAATAATCGGGCTTATTACCGACGTGCTATTGCTATCCGACCGAGCAATGCTATCGATGGTAGTGCTCGGTGTCTCTGGAACGTCAAAGGCTTGATTAACCACCGACCGGAATCCGACGGAGGGGTTATGGTGCAATTGAGGCTCTTGCTGCTGTGGTTCTAAGGGTTGGTCTTTTTGAGCGTCAGACGATGGTGCGGCCGTGAGATCTGCGCCGAATCCAGAGAGACGTCTGACATCTGGGAGCCCAATAATAGGAACATCATTCTGAGGCCTGGAAGGAACACCCTGGTTCTCGAACTGGTGGCCTTTTGCTTCCTGTCCTGCCGGGCTAGTTATGGGTGCTGGGTCCGTGGAGGCCCGACTCAGACTTGGAGGGTTGCCTGGCCCCGCGGTCTGCTCACGTAACCGGCTATATATGTCGGCTGGGCGTGATGGGAGGTTGTAATTTTGTTCTTCAGCGTTGCGGTCGGCTGGCCGACTACGGCTATCCGCCGCAGGGCCGGTCCCTAGCGTCGTTACCTGGTCCATTGACCGAGAGCGATCCATTCCAAGAGCCCAGGGCTTAGGTATGTTTCTGGACGCTAAACTTGGGAGGTCCCCGGTGCTTTGATTCAAAGGTTGTTGTTGTTGTTGTTGTTGTTGTTGTTGTTGTTGTTGTTGTTGTTGTTGTTGTTGTTGTTGTTGTTGTTGTTGTTGTT